CCTACAAACAAAAACTAAACAAAAACAACCTCAAATCCTTGTTGAACAACATTTCGTATGAATACTCATATTTATTTAACAAAGTGACTTTTATCATTCTCTTAATCATAAATATTGATCTGGCATTTTTGACATCACTTTCCAGATTGTTCCATGGTCTTATTCCTTGTATGGAAGTACACTTCTTCCTCAAACTAGTTCGAAATCCAGGTTTCACAAACATCTCTACCCCTTTCAGATTATAACAACTTTCTCTCTTAACAAAATTCAGTTGGATGTTTAAAGGCAATATACCTATATGAGCCGTATACATAACCTGTAAAATATTATAATCAACCAATTCATAGAACTTCATTAATTTCAACTGATAAAATAATACATTTGATGGGTGACTGTAGTGTTTACCAGCAATAATTCTTACAGCTCTTTTCTGTAAAACAAGAATAGAGTTTATAATTGTTTTGATTGCTTTCCCCCAGACTTCAATGCACTAAATCAAGTGTGGAACAACCATTACATTAAACAACATATACAGAGCTATATCGTTAAATAACTCCCTTACTTTATGCAGTACTCCAATAGATCTTGCAACTTTTGKTCTTGAATAATTTATGTGAGGTCTCCATGTTAGCTTTTCATCAATGGTGACACCCAGAAACTTCACCTCACTGACTCTACAGATCTCAACACCACCAACTCTAAATGGAACATCAATAATTCCCTTTCTACTACAGAATATCATATAGTTAGTTTTATCTAAATTTAATGATAATTTGTTAAGTTTAAACCAATTTTGTATTTTCACAAATTCTGCTYACATCATTTCCAACATCTGTTTTAWGTCATTACCYGAACAAAAAAATGTAGTGTCATCTGCAAATAAAATACATTTAAACAACCCTGACACATTAACCAAATCATTCACATATAAAATAAATAACTTTGGTCCGAGTASAGAASCCTGAGGAACTCCACACCTAATGTTACAAAGTTCAGAYCTTACTTCATGTATCTGTACAAAYTGTTTCCTATTTTTCAGAYAACTAGATATCCACTGTAGTGCTGRTCCTCTAATGCCATATTTCTATRGCGTTTCAAGAAGAATATTGTGGTCAATGGTGTCGAATGCTTTCTTTAAATCAACAGAAATACTAGCACAGTATTGTTTTCAATCAACTGCAGCTGTTATTTGTTCCATCAATTCCATAAGAGCCATTGAAGTAGAGTTATTTGYTCTGAACCCATATTGGCTGCTACTTAAATATTCTGTTCATCGATRAATTGATCCAATCTAGGCTCAAATAATTTCTCTAAAATCTTGAAAACTGTGGTAACAAAGATATTGGTCTGTAGTTATTAAATGCACATTTGTCACCATTCTTATAGAGAGGGATTACTTTAGCTATTTTCATGTTGTAAAAATAACAACATGAAAGATGAAGTTATAAAGTTTCTAAAACAGTTAAAGTTGAAAATTATTCTGTGTGAAGGACATGTTTGATACCTGCGAGATCAGAAATGATTTCTAGATTCAGGAAAATAATGAATTAAATGTGAGTGAGAAAAAAATACTAAGTAAGAATAGGAGCAAATATGTTTGTCACGCAAAGAACGAGTGATTGTGTGTCGGAGTGTGTGTGCGCGTTTGAAGCTGCTGTGTTGCGCAACCAGCGCATTCATCCATTCTAAGCCTGGAAATATTAACTTTGCACAGGAGTTTATTACCATAATTACTGTAAACACAGAGGAACTTAGATGTTTGGTAGAAYACAGATCTTTGTTWATTTCATAGCTGATATGAAGAAATGAGTCTGAGCCTTTGGAGAGTTTTAATGATGTGACATGATGTTGGAGACTATATAGATAAGACCATTCCATTGGGCATGACTCGGCTTTGGGTGRACTGGACTGACACAGTCCCAATCGGTCTGCCAGCTCCCTCTGGAAAGCTCCTGTGGAACCCCAGTTTGATCACTGCTGCTGCACGTGCACAAGTGGTGCACGGCTCCTCGTTTTCAGAATTATTCCTGAAACGACTGACGAGCCACTCGTCATCATCGTGGATCAGAAAATTCTGTTTATAAATAAATGCTTTACGTTTTACACTATTTATTACAGTGGTTTGCAAAAGTATTCATACCCCTTGAACTTTTCCATATTTTGTCACATTACAACCACAAACATATATACAGTATACTGTATATATCAAATTTAGAAAGACACATCATTAGCATTCTTCTTTATCAACAACTTTTGCATTTATTACAGTGGTTTGCAAAAGTATTCATACCCCTTGAACTTTTCCATATTTTGTCACATTACAACCACAAACATAAATATATTTCACTGGAATTT